AACTAACAAGATAAAACAAATTATCTTATCTTTGTTGCTGTTGATAATGCTAAGTTACAGTCAAGAACAGATCCGTGTCACAATAATTTTGTTAACGTCTGTTAACAAAGTCAGATCCAGGGGCGATGCCAACAGTACACATTTGACAACTCCTAAATCTTAAACTGGAATGTAGTTTTTGTATGTCTCAGTGTTACTTCGTTATTATTATTTTTTCCGACACAGGCATTAATGTACAACGTGACATCTCACGCAAGACGATAAAAACACTTTCCACATGGTACTTAATGCTGTCTCTACTTACTAATAATAGACACCCTTAGCAAACGGATTGTTTTTTCTTTCCTCGCGAGTTACACTTCTATATGCTTGATTACAGTTTTCTTAACCCCAGATAGAGCGTCTGGTTTGTTATAAAATCTATTGCAGCCAAAGTATTCTTGTTTTAATTAAATGTATAAACTTTGCATAACTCCACGAACAAATAACACTGAAATCCTGCCAAAGCAATACTTAATGAACTATGTGCTGACACAGAAGAAACAGAGTTCATTATTATAAAATAGAAATACATCAATGGAAATAGCCATAAATATATTGCACTGACATCTTATGTACCAAAACACTCCACTACACTTTATATATTCACGGATTTCCACTACAGTTTACACACGAAAGTATTTTATAAAATGCTATTGAGACATTTCAATTGCATTTTATTCATCTAAAAATTTCGCTTTAGAAACATTTTACATTAAAATACTTGCACTACATTTCACACAACAAAATGCTTTAAAACATTTTACACGTTAAGATACTTGCACTTCATTTCACACAACAAAATTATCTAAAACCTTTTACACGTTAAGATACTTGCACTTCATTTCACACAACACAATGCTTTAAAGAATTTTGCAAGTTAAGATACTTGTACTTCATTTCAGATACAAAAAATGCTATACAAAAGTTTTACGCACTAAGATACTAGCATACTTGCACTACATTTTACACACTAAGATAGTAGCATACTTGCACTACATTTTACACAACAAAATGCTTTACAAAAGTGAACATACTAGGAGCACTTTCAATACATTTTCCATTTTATATACTATAAACTTCTTAACAAGAGCCATCAAGATTGAATATTTAGATTTGCAGATTTCGTCATTCTGACTGATATATTATTTCTATAAGTTTTACATTGGAATAAAGTGAGTTGTAGTATGATTGGGGCAAATAACGTAGAATGTATTAAAGTGACTAACTTATTTCTATAAGTTTTACATTGGACTAAAGTGTGCTGTATTAAAGTGACTAAATTATTTCTATAAGGTTTACATTGGACTAAATGTGTGCTGTAATTTGATTGGGGCGAATAATGTAGAATGTATTAAAGTGACTAAATTATTTTTATAAGGTTTACATTGGATTAAAGTGTGCTGTAATTTGATTGGGGCGAATAACGTAGAATATATTAAAGTGACTAAATTATTTCTATAAGGTTTACATTGGACTAAAGTGTGCTGGAATTTGATTGGAGCAAATAACGTAGAATATTTTAAAGTGACTAAAATTTGATGTGTGTAAAATTCATAAAAACGTGCGTTAGTTTGGCTTGACTAAAGTTTATTTGGTTTGTTTTGAACTAAAGTGAGCTCTATTTTAATTGTACTAACCTCTGCTGAATTCGAAATGGACTGAAATAAGTCGCATTTTTCTTGGGCTAAGCAGTATTAAGGTTAGGGTGAAATAAAGCGTTCTGCATTTTGATTGGTCTAAATTTTAATACACTAAAGCGTGCTGTATTTTGGTTCAACGAATTAAAACGTGGCACATTTTCATTGGAAAACAAAGTGCGATGTTTGTAGTTAGGGTTAGTTTGTACTATTTATTAGCTTGACAGACTAGTGATAAATAGGACGTTAATACTGTATATACTAGTTAAGAACTCGTGCATTGATTGGTTTAATTAACGTGATGTATATATATCAGAGTTTTTGTTTTGAAGCTGCTATATAAAGAAAGCCGAATTGTGCTTTAAATTTACTGTATCGTAAGCTTGTTTGAGATCTTTTTTTATTTTAGAAATAAAGCTAGAAATATCCGAAGATAATTACTGAATAGAGGCCTGGTACAGAACTAAACTTAGCATGCGGTACAAGTGGCTTCCAAAGCTACTTAAGTGTATATATATTTGTGTGATCCCACTAGAGAATACCGGATGTGACGTTAGAGCTTGAGTGTTGTTACTTTAGAGGGATCCTATGTGATATAATTGTGAGGCCTTCCGAGAGCTTCTTTTCTACAGTATGTTACATTAAAACAGTGCATTTATTACGTTAGATGCAAACTTTTTGTGATACAGCTGGGAGTCCTCTAGAGATCTTTCTTTGTAATAAGTAGAAATCTTATTCATAAATACTTCTCACCACACTAAACAATAAAAGACGTTATTCTACCCAGGTCACAGAAATAGATCTTCTGAAGATTAAAAATATACAAAGGCCACCAGTGTTAGATAATGTGTTAAACAGGACATTGTAAACTATATGATACAGTAATTATGTTTTTCACCGTTGTAAACTATATGATACAGTAATAATGTTTTTC